CGTGGCTTATTCAGACATAAGCAAGTAGCAAAAGAGAGTAACGTATATCGGAGGCCGGAGTATTTTTATAATCACATTGCGTTTTATTTTAATCCTGCACAGCGAGTGGACAAGAGGTTTCTCATTGCGGTTATTGGAGGGAAAATGTAAGTCCTATGAAGTGGGCTGTATATTTATTGAAAATTATAAATTTAAAGTTCTATTCCCAATTAAAGACTTTCAATTTTTATATCATTTTATTATCACACACACACAAATATATGTAATATTTTGACAGGCAGGCGCATGAATGACAAAGCCTAACGATATAACTACATCAGAGTCCGAGCGTTGTTGTGGCTGAGTAGAAGGCTGCAAAATGACGACAAAGAAGGATTTAGCTTTTTAGAAGCCACATCTTTATTCTATTCTCACCGCAGGTCATTTTTCCTTTAGATGAAAATCCTCCATATTACATATTCAATAGTGATTTAAATTAAATAAGGTTAAATTTCGACCTTCTACGTCATAACTGTTCTAACAAAGGAAAGAAAAAGATGGGACAAGCAGCAGCAAGGACTGTTAGCAGCGGTAGAAGAAAGCAGTGTGAAGAAAAATGGCGCGTACCCTGTATTTATACTAGCGGTTATATAACATACCAGAATGTTCTCGAAAGTACTGGTCGTCTAGGGAGGAGATCCTGAAGTTGCGGAATGTTAATTATAGGTTGCCTGTTCGCGCAGATGAAAGCCCTTGTATATTTTACATTTCCCCCCTCCTTCTAAACGAGAGGCCCGAAGAGCAAAGCATTAGTACATTAGTGAAGAAAAAGAAAAAAAAAAAATTATAGCATGAGGAAAGACATAAAGAAAAACATCCAGGACATAGCCTACAGGCTTTAACTATGCCCTATCATAACTCATAATCTTTCTCGTATAATTAGAAGAAAACGCTTAATTATATAATTTTATACTATAGAACCTATGGTTTATAAATAAACATATAATTTACAACTAAACATTTAATTTAGAACTATGAGACAATAACATGTTTAAGAATAATACCAAATAATAAATTAGAATCATAAAAGTCCTCAATTTTCTTTAAAATGTGTATTGAAAAGAGAAATGATATGTCGTATGATAAGTCCTTTCACATAAATAATTGAAGTCGAATGTGTTTTAGAGTCTCTCGATGCCAATAAGTCCTTAAAATAAAAATAAGTCAACAAATGTCATTCATTTTTTTTCAATAAAGATGCTTCCATAGTAAGTTTTGAATAGAAGATTTTGAAATTTTTTAGGGATCAGCTTTTTATATAAAAATTAGAAGATATACAAATTATGAGTAATGTACTAATTGCATTCATTCTTCTCATCGTAGGTAATTAACAGTACATTGACATATTTTAAAGCAATATAAAAATTCAGTACAAAACATTATGATATAATACCTTTAAGAAAACAATTCAATATAAATCTTTAATAATATGATGCAATATTTGATAAGACAATAACACCTTGAATTTAATTTTTGGCATTTCCTCTCCAACAAATTTCTCCACAGCACAGAGGCCCCTTAAAGATTTTGTGGCAATACAATACTCCAAATTCAACTACACTGACAAATTTTTCGTACAAATCTACGATATGAATCCAGTCTGAAACTTAATGGCAAAACGAAGCCCTAAATCAAGGACTACCTGAGGCTCAATGAATGTTATTAACTGTGGAAAATATCAGTACACCAAAGGAATGGATTGAAAACAGCACGAAAACCTTTTCCTGTTTCACTTGCACTGGAGGAAGTACCAAGTGCAAGTGGTAGTCAACGATTTGTTATTCCCAGGCAAAATTTTAGGCAAAATTCACTTGGGCATTATAGCAGATTATTTCAACCGAATCAAAATCCTTAAAGGCCACTTAATCATGAAACAATTGCCTCTATCTAAGTTATTATAATCCTAATTCGCAACAAATTTGAGAAACAAGTGAACTTATTTTAACATAAGTGTTCAAAGTAATAAGAAAATTTTACCTGCGATTATCGAAAATTCCATTGATGCAAAAACTGAAGTAGTACAAAATAATCCTGATACTAGACTATGTTCATTAGGCAAGAGGTATTATTGCGACTAAAATTGTGACTAAAATATTGTGATTAAAAAATAATTAAATTGTATAAAATAGTAAAATTTGTAATAATGTAGTATTTTACAATATGTTGTAAATTCTAATTCAACTTATTTATTATTATCATTATCTTGTGTTTCCTTATTTAAAGTACAATTCAATTTTAATAATTATGAAGTGTATCCATTTAAGCGTATGATAAGTAAAGGTGTTCAACTAAATAAATTTTTTCAGAATAATTTTGTATATCAAAATAATGTAAGTACTAAAATTTTTTATAATCATGTTGAAAATAGTGAATTTGATAATGATCAATTGCAAAAGTTATTAAATAACTATAATCATACGTATTATTTGCTAAAATAAATATGATGTAGGTTGTATTAAAATGGAAACTCTAAGAGTAATTTTTAACCTCAGAATTGCCTATTGCTTCTCGACCATACAGAGCAAAGCCATCGTATGTTTTATATTTTACATATATATATATATATATTTTTTTTACATAATATTATATTAAAGGAGGTATACTACCTGTATCAACAAGAGATCACGAATACCAGTATTACAACGGAGTACGCTTAGGCAGAAATTTCTTTCATTTTTCTTCTATTTCATTTGTAAAAGTCCAGTAATTTTAGATTCTGGAACTTCCTTTGCTACTGAAGAGAAACTTCCGAAAAACGTGAATTGTCGCATTCTTGGGAAGAAGAGGCTATTCCATACCTTGTGGACACCTGGATATTTTACTAAGATGAGAAAATATATGCATCTTGGAATATTTACAGAAGCCATTTTTAATATTAAAACACATAAAATAAATGTTCAACTCTTCTCATAAAAGACGAAAACAGCTAAGCGGAATTTCAGGGTTAAGTTTCAAGAGTATATGCTATATAAAGACAAAGAAGTTTGAAGGACACTATTTCGAAAACACAATAATACAGCTCAGTCACAGTGCTGAGATGATATGATAACAATCTATACTGATACGCGATCATTCCAACAAAAATAATAACCATTTCTGAGTTGATAAAGATAAATGGAATACGATGCTCATTCGGTTTGTGCAGTAAAATTGTATATTGTATCTGCCTTACGTTCAGTTTTTTTGTTTCGTATTCTATAGACGTTTTGCTACACTGTGTAGTTTTCATGTTACAGGACATAGTTTAAAATTCTTACTTTACACTTTTTGTGTAGATGTTAGTATGTTGAGTTTAACTGTTCAGATATTTTCCGTCATTTATTACTCAATTAACAGGAGATGGGCGAATATTTATAAAACTTTATGATCAAAACCTGACCATTGTTTTCATTTTCTAGGCGGAGAAAAATCTTCTTCAGTATCCCTTCAAGAGCAATTGCACCGACTACGAGACAGCATGGAGAGAGAATCATGGAAATGGACCCATGACCGAAAAAGTCAGTAGTCAGTTTCAAACGTTTAATTTACGTTTTCCGATTTTAAATTTAATCACAACTTTCACAATAGTAATGCGACCTAATTTACGGCACATATTAACTACAGATTGCAATGATTTTAATACGCACACGGTAAAAGAAGCCATGCCTATTACTCAGAAATGGCATTTAAATTGCTTAATATAAAGTGACTCAAACGATTATTGAGAAGCATAGAAATCTTTAAACAGTTTTATCAGAAAAATTATTTGAGATAGTTTTACAATGTTTATTGCAGAATAAAGCCGAAAACTTTTTTTGCCATAGTAAATTTCAATATGAGCACCATTGATTGCCCAGCAGATACCAAAATGCTGTTCTGCTTCCATCCAAGTACTCTGAAACATGGCTCGCGAGATTCTAAACAAAGGCAAAAATCAATCTGCATTGAAGAGTGGAAAAATATTTAAATTCTGCGTACACTAATGTGCATTCTATTGCTACACGGTTACCATCTAAACATCTCGTTAGGCGAAGACATCATTACTATTGGGAAAAACGCCATATATAGATTTAAAATCATGTCGATCTTTTTCGAACCCCATTAATGTCCGACTGCTGAATACTGGTATTTTTTTCTGGGCCCAAACCAAGTCGAACGGGCTAGCTGCATGTTTTTTTTTTTTTTTTTTTTTTTTTTTGGGGGGGGGGTTTGTGTAACGTGAATACGAGCTAGTTTCGCTTTCGAAAGCCTCAACGAAGGCATCCCTTCACCTATGCAGATATCCGTCGTGTGCTTTGACGTATTTTAGTAAGCTTAACCTTAAGAGTGACGAGGTTTTAGATTTCAAAATAATTACTTTACACTAAAGCAATCAATCGGAGTTTGAGTTAAATATTTCAGTTCTTTCGAATTTTGCAGACGCTATGCTAGAGTCGTATGTAGAAAAAGGAAACATCAGCTTTGGTACCATTTAAGCTTAATCATTTAGATTTACTGATACAGAAGGGAGATATAAGTATTGTAAATGCCAACGTAAACAACATACAGAATAACATATAATGTGCTGAAAGAGTTAAAAAAGATAATAAAATGCAATAGCTTTGACAATTTGTACATTTATGATTCCGTTATGTGAAAAAACTTAACACTGAACTTCACATTACCATCTTTTAGAGATAGTTCATATAATACCAGAAAAAGATAGTTGGTACTATCAGTCTTAAAAAACTTAATAAGACATCCACATTCCTGACTCTCCGGGCACACAATTAAATATCTATCTCATCATAAGTATACGCCAGGTTAATATATGTAGTCCCGTTCCTCAGCAGGTAATGCGAAACAAAGGCTGTACTAGTTATCGCAGGAAATAAGATTTGCCTAAACGCTCTATCAGTGTTCAGCTCTTTTTACTTAGCAGGTCATCTAACGTCTTTTCTTGAAACTACACTGGTGTCCGAAATATCTATATACATATAAAAATACAGAAAGTACTCTACGTCTTTTTCAGAAGATGTTGAATTTAAATAAATTTATCTTTAATCCCATACAGCATCATAAAACATAAACCGAAAATCAGATATAAATACCATATGAAAAAACTACATTATAAAATAAATAAAATTGAAATACGATGCGACAACGAAATTTTAGAAAACATTAAATGTTTTGGAAGCAAATGCAGGCAAAAATCTGATCTTCCGAGAACATGCACACAAATATCACAATTTCATTCTCTAAGGCTGCTATCACACGTCGGTTTGTTTCGGAAGAACAACTGTTTGGAACAATTTTTCTGCTTTGTCACAACAGCCTATCAACACATCAAGGATCAAGGAAGTTCGTGTTACGGAGTTCTTAGGCATAAACGCCTTTACCTCCACATCATCTGAAGAATAAAATGTCATCATCAAAAGAGGGAATTTTCTAATAAGGTAAAAAATTTTGTTAAGCCGAAAAAAGCTTTTAAGAATAAGTGCCTTCACACTGAAAACAAATATAAAACTCAGAAGGTCTTAATTTTGTACCAAAATAAGGAGCCAGAATAAATTTAGAATAGGGGGCAGTCATCTTAAACAAAATTTTTGCTAAAGACTAGAAAATAAAAGCAGGTGTTTCCTTGATACTTGATCTTTCTTTGCGTCAACCGTCAACTACGCGGAGAGAGCGAAGAGTCCGAGGGAAAAGTCAATGAGCTTTCCCTGCGAATGGGATGGGGAACGCGCTTACGCGTCGAAAAAAGTTGCTGTGTTTTCAGTTGGTCAGCTGACGGAGGGAGCAGTTTCGTTTTTCCGCCCGCTATTCAGTGCGGTGTCTTTAAGGCCAAATGATTGACACCCTCTTAAGGGGTGCTAAAAGCAAGTAAAAGCCCTTTTAGAAGGGCTGAAAGAGCTATTTTGAAGTAGAGAAATAGTCAATTGACTTTAGATTTAAAAATTAGGTTCAGTCGCCTGCGACTGTAAAGCTTCTTCTTAAAGAAGCAGGAGGGGTTCCTCCGGTCAATGACTTAAGCATTCAAGACTCGAGAGGCGGGAAGGGGAAGGAACGAGAAGTAATTATTCACATGCATGTCAGTGTGAGCATACCTACCTTGCCCGTTTAAATGGGTTTGCAGCATAGTCCGGGTTGAGAACCGATCTCGGTCTCTTCCTAGATGAGGCGACTGCAGGATCATATACAGGTAGCATATGCAGCACAGGATTTGCAACATGTTGAATATTTTTGAAAAAGTTTTCCGAAAGTCGCTGTATAAGCGATTAATGGCATAATTTTGAGATCGTTATGAATCTCTTCGTTCCTTATATACCACGGAGCTTTGAGTATTTGCCGAAGCAATTTAGATTGAAAAGTTTGGACATGTTTTCTGTTAGTCAGTGCTGATGGGCCCCAAATGGGGCATGCATAAGTCAGAACAGGCCTTATGATAGACTTGTAGAGCAAAATCTTGTTGTCAATTGACAGGTCGCTATTTAAAGCGAAGAAGGGGCGCAGATTGGATTTGACAGCCGTCGCATTCGCAATGATTTTTTGAATGTGAGGTTGCCAAGTTAATTTTGAATCAAGTAATACACCAAGATATTTATATGAAGAAACCCAGGGAATAGGTTCACCGAAGAGAATTAAGTTATCTAAACGGGGGATATTTCTTCGGATGAACAGAGTAGCAGCACATTTTGCGACATTGATTTTGATTTTATACAAACCGAGCCAGAGTTCTAAGGCTGAAAGGTAACTCTGTAGTGTAGAGATTACCGTGAAGGTGTTGGAATGTTGTGCGATGATGGCTGTATCGTCCGCATATAAAGCAAGATCGATACTAGGGGCCTTAGGAATGTCATTTACGTAGAGGTTGAAAACTGAAGGCGCGACGAGACTGCCCTGTGGACAGCCGGCATAGATTGGGCGGGGAGTGGAGAATTCGTGGTTAACTCGCACACGGAAACTTCGTCCGGTCAAGTACGAGTTAATAATTTTAATGAAATGAGCCGAGAAACCAAGCCGCATGAGCTTGTAGATAAGTCCGTCATGCCAAACCCTATCAAAGGCTTTGGCTACGTCAAGATAGACGATACCAGTTTTCTCTCGCTTGCGAAAGCCTTCATGAATGAATTCCACTACACGTAATAACTGGTGTACAGTGGAGTGTTTAGGTCGGAAGCCGAATTGTTCCGGGATGATCAAATTTTGATCTCGACAGAATTCATTCAGGCGATTAAGCAAGACATACTCGTAGATTTTTGAGAGAGACGAGAGCAGACTAATTGGTCTGTAATTGACGGGTAAGTTTAAATTTTGTCCCGGTTTTGGTTTTTGAATGGGCACGACGAAGCTGCAGTTTTCCAACAGTCGGGAAAATAGCTTCTCCTGAGCATTAAATTAATAAGGACCGTAATCCAGACAATAAACATTACGGGGAAGTTTTTGATCATGCGATTCGAAATTGAATCTATGCCAGGGGCCTTGTCAGGTTTAATTTTATCAATGTAAACCATGACTTCAGTTGGATCAGTTGGCCTGAGGTCAGGCGTGAAAGGTTGTGATAGAAAGTCTTCAACCCGTGAATGGATGCGCCCCTGTGTAACCGGGCGGTTACAGTAGGAGTCGTTGTTTGGTGTGTGAATTGAGTAGCAAGGCTGTCAGCAAATAGCTTCGGCCTTTTCTGAGTCTGTGTAGGCCATCTGTGCGCCATCGGCCGTTTCAAGGGGCGGAATGAGCTTGTAATGTTTGCGTAATCGGGCGGCTGCACGCCAAATCGATTTGTTTTCAGTCGTTAGGGACTCAATATAATTTTTTCCACTCCGCTTGTTTTAATAAGCGGGTTTCAGTCCTTATCTCGTTTTGTATCTTGCGAAATTGGACGCGGATACTGGGATCGCGCGACCTTTGCCAGATTCTTCGCAAGTAGTTTCCGCTGCTTAATTTTGAATTTAGTCTCAGGTGGGAGTCTAGCACCAGGGTGCTGAATAGGTTTTGAAGCCGCAGCTCTCTCGCTTCTTTGAGTAAAAACTCCGGATTTTTAATCTGCCTGTCAAAGTCCGCATTGCTGGAAATTTGGATGGAGGGAGTGCAGTTTTTTCCAAAATAAATCGAAAATCGTCCCAATTTGTTGAGACACGCTCCTGTAATTTTGAGAAACGATTTTGAACATCTAAGGTTATCAAAATAAAGTAGTAATTAGAGTCTAAGTCTTGTATCACTTGAATTTCGTGTCTAAAGAAAATATTATAGAAAACAGCCAGATCAAGTACTGCGGGGGACCCTCTTACAGGGTAGGAGCTATGATCTGTACATGGTTACTCTGTCACCATGAGTTTAGACTAATGCCATACCTGTTCCTGTTAGAACAAAACCATGCGGCATGACGTGAATTTAGATCGCCAGCAGCAATGATCAGGTGATTTGAAATATTCAAAAGTTTGTCAAAATCACTGACAGGGAAAGAAGGCCTTCCACGTGCAGTTGATTGTGGAGGTAAGTAAGCTGAAACAATTGTGAGTGGGGGAGAATTTTGAAGGAAAATTTGGATAATAGTCGCTTTCCAAAATATTTAAATCAGGGGACGGTATTATGTGATGTTTGATCGAATGTTTCACATAAATACAAGTGCCACCACTCGGATTTCTGCCTTGTGACACCCTGTCCGTCGAGTAATGTGGTCATAATTCCCAATTTTGGGAGTATTCCCTGAGTTAAAGATGAGTCTCTTGGACTAAAAACACGTCAAGATCGTGTTCTACCACAAAGTCTCTTACTTCATGGATCTTGTTTTGAAGTCCATTGGCATTTCCAGGAGCCAATGGTTAGTTCAGAGTGGGTTGGTTAAATGAACTTTTTCTTGACACAATTGAATATTAAGGCCGTTTAAAAAGATTCCTGGACTGAAAAACAGAAGACATGGGTCTAATGAAGATTCGAAATTAATTTGAAAGCTCGATATAGCTTTCATATAAGTAAAAGGCCCTCATCAGAGCGTCTGCCTGCCTAAGCTTTGGCATAGCTCTTTTGAAGGCTTGGAGCAGAATATGCTTGTCTACCGTAGGGTCACGGGAGATTTCAATCAAGCATTTTAGTGTGGATGCGAAGACATCTTCGGAATCATTTGCACACTCTGCTGAGGTTAATACTGCTGGGGCTACAGGTTTTTCTGCGGCCGGCAGTCTTGGATTCTGAGCTCTGAATCCGTGCCCGGTGGCGTTTCTTCACCGCCGTTGCATACGACGGTGAGTTGACGTCGTTAGGGGGGAGCAGGCATGAGACGTGCTTTAGTAGCTGGTGCGCTTGGGGCTTAGAAGAACCCTTGAGGGGGGCTGTCTGAGCAGCTGCCCTATTTTTAAGCGTGGTTTTCTTTCCACGAGACCGCTTATTAGCTGGGTGTCGAGGACAAGATTTATATGAGGCTGGATGACTTCCACCACAGTTGCAGCAAGTTGCAGGTACATCAAAGCCCCTTGGTGCACTCACTCACGTGCCCAGTGGGGTCCAGAGCATCTCACACAACGGATTGGCAAAGTGCAGAGTTCCGAAGAATGGAAAAATCCCTGGCACCTAAAGCATTGAGTAGGGCCCTTTCGGCCGCGATAACGCTCAATGCTGACCTCTGTGCCCCACATGTCAGTGACGGCAAACAGTTGGTCGAGGAAAGGGTGTGGGATGACTTGTACATAAACAAGTGGCATAGGATGTCTGGAGCCTGGCTGGTAAAGCCGAACGCAGCGATGCACTTTAAATCCCAGTGACTCGATTTCCTCTTTGACGTCCTCGACATCAGTTTCCACAGGGAGGCCTCTGACTAACAATTTTGACTGGCCGGTCCTGTTAAAGATCAAAAGTTTTGAATTGGATGCCGGCTTGCTTCATCCAACGTGTGACCTCCCTGAACTCCAGTTCAGTCTGTACAAAAATTTTTAAATATGGTCCAGTGAGAGTACTCTTAAGGTTTGGGGCAATTTCTCTTAAGAAAGACACCTGGGTCTTCCAGTTCTTGCTACTCCTCATATGAATAGCCGGGATAGCATTCGAAGCTGATAGCTGATTGGTTGAAAAGAACAACCTGCAATTTTTTTGGAAAGGAAGGAAAATGTTGCGCGTCTTTCTTTCAATAGTAAACCAGGCAGAAAAATTGTCCGAAACAGTTGTTCTTGTGAAACAAACGCCGTGTGGTATGGGCCTTAGGTTCGCAGTTAGAAAAATTTGGTTTATAAGTTCCCCTCGTCCACCATTAAGATGTTCAAGGTAATGAGTCCGTAAAAGGAGCTTTACGTCGTGCGTAAACAGTAAAAGGAGTCTACCCTTTCAAGGTTGTCCTATAAGTCTTTTGCGTCATTCATATTAGAGGTTATTGGTGATAAGTTTATTTTTCAATGCCTTCGGTTTAAAGAAAGTAATCAACAAAATTTACTTAATAACAAGTAATATCGTCTACAATTATCTGAATCTTTAAAACTGCCCCGAAGTGCTGAAAATGTCATGAACATATTGAAACAGAAGAGTCATGAAGATCTTAATAGTATCTACCCGCAAACACACATCATTCCTCGAGCACGAAGCAATTGACGGAAAGTACAATCGATGATCATTGTTAATTTCTATCCATTAGATATTAGATCTGTGCTGTGACGATTATATTCCTAAATGCTTGTGAAGATCTTTCGTATTCCTGGTTTCCTTCAGACGTAACTATGTTAAAAATCGGATAGTCAATTAATTCCGCCCAACCGGTATAGTGGTTAGCATCGCTGATTTCCATGCCGAAGGGCCGAGGTTCAAATTCCGGAGAAGGCATGGGTCTTCATAAATGTATAGTCTCGGTGCAACATGGCAGCACTCTAAATATGCGAGCCGAAAGTCCTCTCGTCTGGTTTAGTGGAAGGGGGAGACCCACGGACATGTACACCCGGGGTGCTTTAGATCAAAACTGGGGGCGGAACTGAGCAAAATCGTCCTGTCACCTGTAAGGAGCTTAAGGTTTTTGCCAACGACAGGCGTAAGTAAATTAGCGCTCTTTGCCACGAGGTATTTCGTGGGCTTGGGCTGACTTATACGTCAGACAAGTGAGCATTATTATCAGCAACAGTAGTCAATGATTTTAGACTCTTCATTGATGCGAACACAAGCTAATTGCTTTAGATCTCGTTTTCTGCGTCAGGTGGTTCTGTTTAATTGTGAAGTCAAGCCATTAGCTTTTTTTTTTTATATAAAAATCTTCCTATTTAAGCCTTCTGTATGCAAGTTACTTCAGGGTAAGTGTCGCAGTGCCTGTTGCTATCTAATAGTCAAGTTCCTATTGAAATGGCCAGTTACAGTTACAAAGCGAGCTTGAAGAACAATTCTTTTTTCTTCTGCGCCCTTCTCCTTATTTTATAGTGACAGTTTCAGTTCTTTTAATTGGTCCTAGATAGCATATCTTAAAACATTCAGCCATTCTTTCTCCGTTGTATGATTATCTATCCCGTTTCTAAAAGGCCAATAACACTTTATCTTAAAGATTCTTCCGAAAAGTGTTCGGACCCAATAAACAAAAAAATGCAGAATTTGATGGGAAAACATATTTTGTTCAAAGAAATCCCCATGCTTTTGAATGATATCATGCTATTACTTGCATTTCAAATTTTGGTTTACAACTGATGGTCAATAATTTGATTCACGCTTATAATAAGCAACAGTATAGGGTGAAGTTTTGTTTTTTGCTTATTCTAAATAAAAATTAGTTATTCGTTACTTTAAGAAATACCAATATGATTAAGAATCAGAACAACTTTTTGTGCACTGTATCTTTTATTTATCTGCACAAACACTTGAAAATAGAAGAAATGCCGTCCACGTGACGACACAGCATTTTCGATACACACATCACTCAAAAACATTGTAGGAATACTAAAAAAGAATAGCCTGTTGACACACTTGACAGGTTCGTTACCATAGCAACCATAATTGAATCGTGAGGCGGTAGCGTCATCTGCTGTTGCCAAGACCCACTAGAAATTTGTTTGGTAACAAAAAATACTAAACAAATACTTTAGGCAAGTAATTTTGGACACCTGTGTAGTCTGTCAAAGATATTAACGTAGATAATGCTAATTATAAATTTTTATTCTGAATGTTGAATGAAAGAAATAAGAAAGGCCTGACGGACACAGTTCCCACTTCAAACAAAAGTTGTAGATAATATATACTTCATATTTCATTCACTTGCAAAATGTAGTATTTATTTTCTATTGTGTTTAAAATTGTTTCATTATTTTGAACAGGTTCATTAATATCTACTTTTATAGGCTAGATATGGCGAATACTATATCCAGGATATTTTCCCTGTAAATGTAACCAAAATATATAGTTTCCAATTTGATATATCACTTTAAAAGGCAAAAATTAAAAATTGCGCTAGCATGCGAAGTTGTCGCATTTGCAATACTTGAAATTTTGTGAAAAAAGTGATGTCTCCTTTAATAAACTATTATTTCACTTACTTCTTGTTTTTATATTCAGTTGCAGTTTTTATAGAAATATATGCACTGTTAATCATGCTTTTATTCTTCGTTAAAATTAAACATGAAATATTTGCAAAATTGCTGAGGTAAACCTCTGCATTAAAATTATTTTTCCCTTTCTAAGATGTGCAAAGAGAAGTGCAAACTCGAAAAATCTATGCGTTTATATAAATGTGCCGAAAGAAGGATTGACTATCCTCACAATGAAACCATCTGTGCGGATCGTAAGTTGAAAATATTTTCGTATTTATTAATAAATTAATCTTATTATCCTATAAGCATTTATCAACGTATTTCTGTTGCTAGAGATGTTTGTTCTCACTTAACGTTTCTTGCTGCATATCGAAAGTGTTGTCGGTATGAAAAACAACCCAAAAATATATAGCTTGAACAAAGAACTTCAACGAATTCTAATTGTGTTATCTTATGATCTACTCTCTTGATGCAAAACAAAAATCTTATTAACAATTAGGTTGAGAACTGATGGTCAGTAATTTTATTCACCCTAATAATAAGCAACAGTATAAGATGATTCAAGCAACTTCGTAAGCGTGAAGAAATTTATTAATTCACAAGAAATCGAAGGGTCATTTTAGAGCAAAATGCATGTGCATTTTCGCTTCTTCAAAGGATCTTTTCGATGTGACTGCCCTCGTTGATAGCAAATATTTGAAACCTGTCTTCTAGCTAACGTGTGCACTTAGGGCCTAAATTGGGCTATAAACCTACTAAATTTGCGCATAAAGGGGGGAAAACATGATACATCCGTGAAACTATTACATGACACGAATATGGACGGGTATGCTAATGATCAACGTTGAGTGTGATTACGTTTAACTATCCTGTAATAGTGCTGCACACACAATGCAGTAAATTTATAAACAAACGGGCTTGTAGTCGATCCCCCATGAACTTGAAAAGCTCCGGCTGTTGCAACCGAGAATACGGAGTGAGTGAGTCTCAATTGTTCCCAGCACCAACAAATGAGAAAAAGGTAAGAATACGCTAACGAAATCGATTTACGCAACTCAAAGACTTTTGAGACCAACCATGTCATCGTACTAAAAGCTACAGAATTGGTCGTATAACCTACCATTTCGTTCTGACCATACCATTTGATGTACTGGGAGCAACGAGATCCCTCATAGTGGTCCACGGTCTACCTAAAAAATCGGACCATAAACACCACTGAAGAGGACCTCGAGTCATGTAAGCATGGATTTCGTAGCAACCTTGTCTACAGTATGGCACATATTCTGGCTCCTTTATGCCAACGAAGCATTTTAAGATAGCTCGAGGAAGCAAATCTGTAATTTCTATGATCTTTACATATGTTGCTTTGTATCAATGGAACTTAACAATAGTGCAAGCCCAGAGGAACGTGGAGGACCACAGATTGGTGATGTTAATCTTTAGCGATAGTTAGCCGCTTCGTTTTCTTTTAAGAACACACTTTCATTGTACAAGTGTTTAGGGTCCTTTGATCAATGGCACAATTATAAACTCGCAATTGAGCGACATATTTCATCTACTGCAAGTGTTACGGTCTCAAGAGTGACTTAAGGAGAATTTGCTTTTATCTCTGTTTTCCCTCTTCTTAGCTTCTCTTATTTATAGCTATTTACATTAAAGAATTAGTTTTTATTTATTTCAGTAAAACGAAAAATTCTTTCTGCTTATCTTGCATAATTGTTACAGAGATCTTCACAAACATCTAGCATGCTGCGATCTTATGCATTTAAAATTATTTTCTCTGGAAATACACTCTTTCAGATTTTTAAGATAAGCATATTTGTAGTTTTATAATGTAAAGTAAGCAAATGCTAGCTGCTTGATTTTAAACTTTGCAATCATAAGAGATTCATTATTCATATTTTTAATCACAGCCATTCCGAATTTCGCCAGGGAAGCTAGATTTCAGTGTGCGAGGAGTTGCTCAGCCCCATGCAAGTAAGAAACAGAAATTTTCAAAATAACTGATAAAAATCAAAATCAGAGTTTAAAACTTGAGGTTCTATAAATGAGATAGTAACAACTTTTTTCAAAACACTCAAATTATTTGTTATTTTTGTGTTATTTTTATTATTGTGTTTCAATATTATTTCTAGAATAAGAAGATATGAAGTGCAGGTTCAGGAAGCGGATAGCGAAGGAACAAGAGTATGCTCTAACAAGTTTTTAATTTAATTTTGAGTAGGCATTCTTTCATTGCATAAATTATACCGTTCTCCTCTGACATTATTTAGGATTTATAAAAATATCTCCTGCCATCTACTTCTAACAGTTCTAGAAATAAATAGTTTAAGTGCAGCAAAACTCGAAAGCTAATACATAGAATATAAAAACAGGTGTAAATCAAAAAAATGAATGAAACATGAAAGAGCAACACAATTGCTCTCGTTAACACAAAACCCAACAGACCGAAAAATTAAGCGTTCGTAACTCAAATTTTGGAATAGATTGTTCTGCCCATTAACCGTTTCCGTTTACAGTATATAGGTGCATACTTACTATAGTATATTATGTAGGTCAACAAAGGAAACACTACAGTACTACATTAATTACATTAAAATATGTACTCAGAGATAATTTTTGGTGAAACATTCTTGTATACTGCGTTCTCGCAGACGGGAAGGAAAGTGCTTGGTAACTTCATGGTCAACTATACTCATGGTTTCCATACAATTAAGAGTCTGTTTGAATATTGCACCAGAATGTTCGAAAATGTTCAAAGCCTGCAATATTTCCTGATGGATGGAGAAATGATATTGTCCTCATAACATCCTTCTGATGATATTTGTTACACCTCAACCACTACTGCTTGTACATCAGATTCCACTTACGTACACGTGGCCACATCGTCATTCGCCCTAATTCCTCAAAATTAATAACTGGGTTCGCAAATTCTTATACAATATTCCATTCTTCATGTGAAGTACTATCGTTGTCACAATCTAACTCGTTAACAGGATAATGTTTCCAAAGCTCTGCGAAATCGTTGTGTGCTGTGATAACATGGATTTCTAGCATGCGGCATTTCAGCTTTTAATACATTTCCAGCATTTGCTACATTAAGCGCACTCCAAGTTGGCGTTTAAGTTTCTTTTTCAGCAGCATGTATTGCAGCTCTCACAAGTCGCTTGCAATAAGATCTGTTTCTAATAATAATACAATTTTGCTTCAAAGGCTGAAGACGGCTTGTTGCATTTCGGGAGAAAGTGAACCTTTACATTGGTTAAGTTCAGATCATGTATATCGTGGGCTGTATACCTGTTTCGGTGTCATTAGAATATGCTTATTCTGAACCACCATTCGAGTATTTAAACGAAGAAGCCACTTATGAAATGATGAGGTGTGTATCGAAGTTTTTTTATTTTGAGAGTAGATGAAAGGAAAAGTACTATTTATATTCTTAAAACAACGGAGATTCTCCGACTTTTTCACACCCAAGCACAGCGTTTATCACTGCCAACTGCAGTACATGAGGACAACAGTTAAACGTAGTTTGCTGACACTTGTCACTTTTCCTTCCGAGGATACGACTTGCGGAAAAAAAAAGAAAAAAGTACAGTTTCATCAAAACTGTAGATATCACACGACGCTTGTCTTTCTCTCACTTAGTCAAATTCCTACCACCAGTTGTTTGCTTTTTCTTGATCAACTTTATATGCTTCATTAAAATCGTTAATGATGAAATTGAGTGTCTCTTTTGGAACCAGTACAGCCAAATAGTGGAACAAGTGAAATTTTTAATGTCTACATTTTTGCAATCTTGTTTGTTTTAGACTGAATTTTAGGCCCACTTTAGCACGCATATTGATAAACCATTCTAGAAGACAGAACCATTCTAGAAGTTTTGACAATTTTGTACTTACACTGTAGAGTCGATTGGATATTTTCCGGAACCCAATGTAGCAGCATTAAGAAAAGTTCACGATCTTTAAATACTATGGATAAGGTAGATTTGACAATTCCATACTCTTCGGCAATTTTAGTCTTCAATACGTTGTAGAGTCCTCTAGAGTAACTTCTGTGTGAAAACTGTAAGAGTAGTAACTGCACGAAAGAAAAGCTAAAAGTACCCTTTATTAACTCTTTAAAATTTACAATGTATCAACTCGACGCTATTACAATACAGTGAAACCTCTGCTAATATGATTGCGCCTTAACCAGTACTAGTATCAACACTATTTTAAGTGAAATTCCATACAACTAAGCCTCAAACGTAATAAACCTGAGACGGTCTTATTTGTTTGCTGAATATATTAAGATTTATTTTTATTTATTTTAGCCCATTTAGCCGTTAGGAAATTTCCCCAGGAAAGGAATTTCATAATTTCAGGAAGGGTGAATGAGGTCACCTTTTTATATACCTGTAAGTATTTAGTTTCAGCTTATTATTTATAAGTATAAAAAACTACTTTTGTTCCCGTTTTGGTATTTATCAACATTTTTCTATACTTTTTGTTATTTAATTTAAAAACATATTAAAAATCATCTAAATTTAAATAAACGCATATATATTTTTGGATTTTTGGAAGGGGGCATGATGGTTTAGCAAAGGAGAAAGGGCTCCATGGGACAGAAAAGGTTGAGGATTTCTGTTCTAAACAATGTCTTTGGAGCTATTTCGTAAATACATTTTAAAAATTGTTTAATCTTGCTGTGCCATTCTGTCATCAGTCTTAGTAATTACTTTGACTTCAGATAATTGAATTCGTCGGAATAATGAATATGCGATGAAAGTTGCGCCTGCTCAGTCTTTAAATTTTATGCAATTTTGTTGACCAAATATGATTTATATCGTTGAATTTTGTTTTATAAATTATGACACAAAAAGTGTTTAAGGTTTTATATTTCTTATTTCAGAAAAGCTGCGTCACGACAAGTGACTTATCGTAAGTACTAATTAAAAATTCAAATGCAGAATTTTGTGTACCATTTTTTTTCAGAACTACGTATTTTATATCTCTTACATTCTCTCCTCAGGTGTGCAACTTTAGTTCATATTATATTCGAAAATCTGGAAATTACGACATTCACTTACACTCCGAGATATGAGGTAAGCCAAGTTTTTCATAAATAAATAATATATTATACATTCCTGCTTCACTTAGATACGCACTTAATGAAACCACCCTTGGCCTTTTAAAACTCAATAAATTTCATATACCTGACTTATTTTAGTTTGATTTGTGTCAGAGAATTAATTTTGTTTCTTGGGTTGCTTTTATAAAACTATTTACATGAAAACTGTACATGGTACTCTTTATTTCCTTCAATAATCGTCCTCCAGAAACTATTCTTTTGTTTCAGATTTTCGAAATGAAAGATTTTTAGCAAATAAAAAACTTTAGTATCAAATATATTTTTTAATTTAACGAATTTTTAAGTAAAACTGGCAGCAAAATCAGAATATAATCTGTATCCAACGTTCGAAGTATCTAAATGCGATTCATAGTCATATAAATCTACCGAAAGATTTTTTTTTTGGCAATTCTTCTCTATTAACCCAGATTAATTAAAACAGTTGTAAAAATTAGCATAAATAAACGCAAAGTTTATAACCAACTGTAGTTGTTTACCAGTCCGGCTATCCCAAAGCGTTGTTGTTAATTCTTGCAGTTCTTGCAGTAAAAGTTACAGTGCATGGAACGCGGATTGTAATGCTAAGAATACAGCTGACGCTCAGAATATATTTTCATACTCCCTTGATAGGAGCAGAAGCAACGTCATTCACAAGATTGCTGTGGAAGAAGAAAATTTCGTCAACTTCTAAGAACATGAAGAATAGTTTTAGTCTTCTAAAATTGAAAATAGTAATTTTTCTTCAAATAAGAGAATCCTTTGTGTAAATCGTTTTTACTTCCTTTTACTAAAAATGAATTTTTTTACACATGAATGAAGACCGAATATTCCGTCTTTTTCGCAAGAATATTTCAGCTTTCGTATTAGTTTAAAGGGTGCAAGAAAAACATACTGTCTGAGACAGCGGTCATCAACCCTTAGAACTTCACGGACCACTACATATATATTTTTATATTTGGCGAACGACTAATCTGAATTAAAAAAAATCATTTGTTAATATAATTTTGGAAACATTTGGTGTTCAGCAGCATGCCTTTATGGAAATTCAGGCTACTCCCCTGATTATGAGCAACAATTAAAACACTATTAACATCTCACTGATATTTCGTTCACATTGAAAAATTATATGAAAAGTACAAAATCTTACCTTCTTGCACAGAAAGCTTCACATTTCCATCTCACTGAAAAGAAACTTCACGAAAAGCAAGAACAAACCGGCTAACGCAAAGCAATATCAATAAACTGAAAGTGTTATTCTGCCAGTTTTTAATTATTGTAAACATAATAATCATCGCTTACTGCATTGGCGCCATCGATCAACAGTTAGACAAAAACGGAAACTTCCAGTGATACAATGCAGATGGTAAAATAAAGTTGCCTAATGAAACGGAGGAAAAACTGTGTTAATTAACGACTACAATAGCATATGTTTGTAATTCAAAAGGAAAGAGAATTCCAGTTCGAGCTATTATTGATAACAGCAGCATATCCATGGATGACGAATCTCACTTTCAAATGTCGCTAGATACACTTGCAAAAGTAGCTAAAAAGTCGCTAAATTCAGAAGGAATTTCGTTAAAAGTAGTAGCTAAAATTAAAAAATAATAATAATAATAATAATAAAAGTGTAATCCGGTATTCCATAATAGGTTTTGTTACTCGTCATTTTTTAAACTGAATCTTCAGAAATATATAAATAATGTTCCAATTTTTCTGCGGACCATCAAAAAGTTTGCACGGACCATCAGTAGTCCGCGGACCACCGGCTGGCGACCGCTGGTCTGAGACATTTCCAAAGCAGGCAGTTGAGCTTAAAATGGAACGCGAAAGAACAATAGAAGCTGAAATATCCTTAGTGAGATGACTTAATTTTCATATGCCATATGAAATTCGGAAAGCTGATAAGAGATGAGGAAATTTCTCATACGCAGTGTCACTAATGGTGCAGGTACAGGCATAAGTGGGTGGGAGTCTAGAAATTCACCATTTGTCATGCAGATATAGTCCAGACGTACTACCCGTGCAGTCCTCTCCAGTTTTGAGGCAGAATATCCAGGCGCTCTCCCACCCTTTCTTCCCTTACCATTAACCTCTCGAGTGACCATTCGGCTAGCATTGTATTTTGAGTGCCCCCTTGCCGCACAGTCACCATACGCTTACAAACGTTAGTTCCTTCTTCGATATTCAAACCGGTGCAATCAATACGACAGTTAGTATCACTAACCACTATACGTGCTTGGCAGCTGTCAATGATGGTAGGAGGATAAATTCGAGAGACAATAGCAACATCTTTAAGAATATTAACTTTCTTAGTTAAAGCATCAAATTTTTTTAATTGAAAATTACTGTTTTCGTTCCAGAATTCACTATTATGTAATATGTAAGTAAAGAAAGTACTTATACAGATATCTTCTGCTTTGCAAACGTGGAACGTTTTTATGAAAACCTTCACTTTTTTTCGTACCTCGAAATACAGCAAAGCAAAGAAGTAATTACCATTAATTTATGCGGAAAAAGGCCTTTGAATGAATATTCCCAAGTTCATTCCTCATCTCCAAAAAAACTTCGCCTTTAAATCTAGAACAGTGGTTCTCAACAGATGGGGGATTTCCGCCTTTCGGGTGCAAAGTTTCCTCTCTTTGTGAAAACTCTTTCCAGAATTTTTTCTATTCGAGGGAGGAAAGATTTGTGGGAAGAAGCGACGCAGCGACTGGAAAAAATTTGGTGGATAAGTCTACTTATATCTTGTAAAATTTGTTGTTAAATCGTCCTTACCATTTAAATATTATTATTTATTTCATTCTTGATAAGGTAAATACTACTTTATTTTCCCTTTCAGGTTGATATTTGATCTCAAACAACTCCTTCAGTTTTAAATCCTTTTTGATTATCCATCTAATCTTTCTTGGTAGTTAAATTTCTTGCATTTTCTATCTTCGTTAACGCAGCAAGATAGTGAATATTCTGCCTTGTTTCCCCAGGCAATAAAACTCTCAATTTTTTCACCGCATGTATACGCATAAAGGATTTTCATTCAGTCAATGGAATAATTTCTTTCCGCTGGAATCATAGTTCTACTGAAACACGCTATCGGGTGCCGCTCTTGCATCAGAAATTTTCCGATTGAAAAATCAGAAATGTCCATGAAAATTTATCAGTTTCCCCCCCCCCCGGATCAGGAACTTTTAAAACCGGGACTGTGATGAATGCCTGTTTCAGGCTCTCAAAGGCCTTGTCTGCCTCTTCAGACCATTTTCTATTTAAATTCCAATGAAAAAGGGCAAATACAAAAGCACGAACAAACAATAAAAGCTGTACAAAGTGACCAAAGTGACTTACACGCTTCAGATCATTTAAACCTTGCTTTTTTCCTTTTTAACTTCAAAATGGCTCAACGTCTGAAAAGGTTTTCATAAATTTGCTATAATACGAGCATAATCTGGGAACGATGCTAACGTTTTGAAAGTGTTTTGGGTGGGGAAATGTTTCACTATAAAATTTTCCACTCGACTTTCTTAATGCTTTTTTCAGTGATCTCAAATCGACACATATTAATTGTAAAAAAAAGTAAAGGCTGAGAAATATAAGCAGATTTATATTTCTCAGCCTTTTCGATTTCTGTACGTCTACTTTTATGTTTAATTTCATGTTCAAATAAGTCATTTAATGTCTCGGGGCTCCTTAATTCTACAAAGTCCTGTACTTTCGATAGTAATTTCGAGTCTACTATATCCAGTATCTTATTCTATTGCTCGTTCCCATACAATAGCTAACAAAGTCTGTCTACCTATGGGAAGAGATGCCTTCGTGAGAGCTAATTACAAACATTTAAAATTGCCCAATTAATGTAAGGTACGCAATGGCAATAATCAGTTACGGTAAAGTACGCAAAAGCTATCTGCCTAAAAGAAGCACGCTAAACACTGGTAGTTCGGTCCGGGGTTCGGATCCCGGCTGGCTGCATGGGCGTTTTCGTGTTTTTGCTCCATGTACAATGTGTATACAAGCCCGTTTCCCATACAAAGTCTTCCATGAAGGACTTCTTCCCCTTAGGTAGATAGCCTTCGAGTGCTTTGCCATAATCAAATAAAATAAACCAAACCATAGCGGAGGATTATCTAAACGAAACTGCGTTGTATTCGCATTATACATGGGACAAAAGCACGAAAACTCCCATGCAGTCAGTTCCTGATTGGCTGTATGGGTTAGGACAAGCTATTATTGTTTAGAGATCTTATTCTGTTATAAATAGGCTAAAAAGTTCACAAAAAAAAAACTAATCAACCAAATATGAAGAAAAGTAGTTTCTAAATTAAATTCCTAAAATTTCTGTCCAATTATGCAACTTTCAAATCAACCATTATAATTGATTAATTCTCGAAGTTTGATTGTTTGTACATTTATAAGAGGCAAAACATATAAGGGATATCTGATTAAAGTAAAAATGCCTTCGTTGAGAAATTTCTAAGGGAAGAAATTCTACTAAGTCTTGTCGTATATATTAATTCGTCTTAAAGTTCTAATGTCTCCAAATTTCGCGACCATTTGGCAACATCCCTGCATCATCGTGATCGTTATAATAATTGAATAAATGTAATTTATCACTATATTAGCTGTAACCGTAATTCGACCCTCACAATGTCTTTGAGTAATTTCGAGAAGCAGAAAGTATTAGAAATATCTCGGCATCCGGGTGAAAACTATACAGGGTGTTTCATAGATCATGGGACAAACTTAGAGGGGTGGCGGAGCGTAGTAAAACATGCATTTTTTATAGGAATGTAGGGTTAAAAATGACGGGTTAAGGCAGAAACGCAATAGTCGTGTAACGAGGTCCTCCAGTGAGTCAACGAGAGTCTCGTAAAAATGCCCGGTGAATTTTCTTTATCCTATTAACACTTTACGCAATAATACTTATTTTATTGTTACCACCTCACCAAGTTTGTCCCATGATCTATGAAACACCCTGTATAAGGCCAGATAGAACATCCGCTCTCATTTGTTGTTGTTACAGGTTGTTAGTTCAGCGCGAGCCCGGAGTACTGAGATGTTTCGGAATTAGTTTTCTCTTTAGATGGGCTTTGCATTGAAAGATTCTTTGTAATTTGAAGCGTAACTACTGATTATACTCAGTGATACCGTGAGCACCTGTATAAGTATTTCTGTGGAAAATTCCAGAGCTCTGAAATGTTTCTTTTGATAAAATATATTCTATCAACCTATCATCGGACCTGTGGGCATTCAATATATTACGAACCCGTATGCTCGCAACAATATGTCAAATTTTACTTCATATCCGTTTTTACCCATCATTTAAGAGCTGAGTACCTAATCTACGATTTTATATGAGAACAGTATAGAATTTATTATACGTTAAATTTACAAGATCCAAAATGTGTGGTTTAGAGAATCGAAACATTTCGATGATATACTTTAGCAAAAAATTTTCCATTCATATTGGTTTTAAATAATTAGGTAAAAGATGAGATGCAACTTTGAATAATTTTCTTCTTCTCTTTATTCTTTAGCCTATTGGCATTCTCAGTTTCATCGGTGGATATGTTGGCCTGTGGCTAGGAATATCATTCCTCACCGTCTATGACTTCCTGGAAACAAGGATCTTCCGTTTCGCGGCAGCAGTGAGGAGGAAGTGGAAGATGCGGAAGACTAAATCTAAAGTATCAGCATTCGTAGAACTACGAGCGAATTCCTTGCAAAATCACAAAAGTGACTACATTCCAAGAGAAGTGAGTCATCAACAGAAACGGCCCAAGTCATCGAAAGCAATTTACTAAGCATAAATACCCAGATATACCTCAAGTGGACAATGTATGCATAAAGTTTATAGTTATTTATCACAGGATGAAATACTTTCAGGATCAGTAATGGCTCTCACGAAAGTGAATGTAAAGAAGAAATTTGTAGAATGTTCATAGTGTAGATAACAAGTTATGTAAAAAATCCAACAAGCATAATCTGAACTAACCTTTACAGCCTAATAAATGTAATTTAGACCAAAATCGCTAAGAACTGTTTTCGGTGAATTTTCTTTATCCTGTTAACACTTTACCGCAATAATACTTATTTTATTACTATAAATTGATGTAACTGGGCAAAATAAAATAATTGAAAAAGTCATTTCCATTATAACTTGTTATACAGCAAATAAATTATACATTTTTCAGCTCCTGCAAATTTTACAAACTCAAAATTTTTCTCTCTTGGAACAACATATTGCATTAAAGAGACACTTGCTTGTTTTGTATGCTGAATGATTTCACAAATAAGAAAACATTATACCTCTGCATTTAAAATTTAATAAAATCAGTTCAACAAGTGTTAGAATTCGTAAATTACATAACCAGTTACGATAAAAATCTTTTAGCAAATGGGAAGAAAAGAATTAGCTGAAAATTATATTGCTCAAAAAATTAAAGGATCAATTACTTTCTTGAAGAAATACATAAATTGCAGTCATCATTTTTAATAAAATTGCAATAATAATTGAATTAATAATTGCAATAATATAATTACAATGAAAATACATATTTATTTAGTTTTACCAAAGTATGCGAAAGAAAATTTGACTATTCATTTCAGGAAAAAATACTCTCTCAAGTATTTGTTGAGTTTTCAAGTGTTTCAGTATACGAAAGCAAAGAACTTTAACAAGGCGATTTTCTGAGGATTCCATGCGATATCAATAAAGCACGTAATCTCGAACTACTAAAAATGCTAAATGCATGTGGCATGGAATTTACAAAACGATCCAACAAAATTCTGAGACATTTTCTAGTTCTCAAAACGTCATAGGAAGTTTTTTCCGATCAATAGCAAGTTTCGTTTAAGCGTTTATTGAATTTAAACAAAGTGGACATGCCGGCCACTCCATGCGCTCGATTCCATACTCTGAAATCCCATATATTGAGTTCTGTAACATCAAGCATTATTTATCATTAAAAGAAACACACAATCGATGGCTTTAGCAAAAGATAAAATCAAAGGTCCAATAATCTAGTATGTGTACCTTTTACCTGTCAGAATGACGTACATGGTTCGTTAGGTCGCCTAGACACATTCCTACTCAAACCATTAGTCCTCTTCCAAGATTTTGTGACAATTAGCGCATGAAATTAGATGACCATCATCTACTTTCGAACAGAATCTTTATCAGTCTGTGAAAAAACTGGTGTCATTTTGTTCTAGTTCCCAACAATGATGTTTATCCAACCAGTTTCTTCGTAACCCATGGTGCTTTTACGGCTCAGGGAAAACAAACTACTGATTTACATCTCTATAAAAACCATGTCTATCCTACAAATATTCGAGCATTTGTTTCTCAAACATCTATCAGAAATGACCGAAAGCATATGTAATTTAGCCGTCTCATCACAGTCAGCGTTTTCCACTATGCACCACAGGGGTACATCGATATTAGACCAGCGACAAAGGCGGAAGGACATACGCCAATAAACAAGCATTTACGCGAGTTCAAACTCATACCATGGAATTTGGACTGGCGTAAATGCTTGTTTATTTCACTCCAAGATACTCAATACTTATTTATTATACTTATTTATTAAACTCATACCATGGAGTTTGGACTACCGCTCAACTCTGTTAAATGCTATTATAGCTCACGAAAGTAGATAATCATGCTGATCAAGTGAACTACGTACAGGTATTTTGCATCCACACTTTTTATACTGTAGACTGCAAAAGCTGCATTTAAATAAATGACATTTCTTGATCTGTTTCGTTGGCTGTTATGGATAAAGACTGTCGGCTTCAGGTTATTGCACGTGGGTTATTTTTAATTGATCTAAACTTCTGTACTTGTTCATGAAAAAACATCTACAGTAGTTTGGAATCGGTTTCAAAGATGCAGAAATTATGTTACTTTGAGGCATGCGAGAAAACTTGTTATTTCCTTACTCGGATTTCTCGTAGCTTCCAAAGCTCTCCATTCTTGTGAAGCATCCGTTGCGATATTTCTTGGGCACTTAAAGAAAAAAAAGGTAAAAAACCGTTTAATCGAATACTGCTTAATGAAAACAGACTCCTATGGGTTTTCAATCCCCCTGAATATTCTTGAATTCTGACAGTTTCATAATTTGACATCATCACTGACGCCATTTTGTGTGAGAGATCATATTCTTCTAATGTCTTTGAAGCACTATATTCGTATTCGATAGATTTTAATTAGAATTTTCAGGTTTCAGCATATGGTTGTGTAAAGAGGATGATCCTCTTTTCTGAACACTATAATTTAAAGTAGGTAAATTACCTTAAATTACACTTCAGCAGTATAACGTATGCAGCAGCAGTCTACTTCAGCAGTATAACGTAAAGTGAATAACTTCGAAAGGGCATGGGAAAACCTATTCCATTTACTGCAGAAGTACATTTTACTGTAAAAGGAATTCGATAGCAGAATATAAATTTCAAACGACATCTATCTTTATTTTACGTTAATTATTTAGCGCTTTATATTTCTATAAACATTTAAATTAATTTGATTGCATTTTTGGTTTTGTGTACTGTTTTATTTATTTATTTGTTGCTTTTAAAAGGATAATTTTAGGTTTTATTTTGTGTGTAATTGAATTTGTTACCATACTATATGTTTGATTAGAATTGCATCTTTTTTAATTCTGAATCCAACAACGTTGAAAATGTTAAATTAGCTCAACTAGAAAGCGAAATATGGAGAAAAACCCTCCTGACGGTTCATACTTACAGTGTTTTTCGTTGAGTCAGCCATTTTTTGAAAGATTTGTGAAAACGAATTTTCAAAACCCTATAAACTACTTTTCTCGAAACATCCACAAGCCGTTCAACTCCGCATAAATAAGACCTAGGACGAGGCAATTTTTTGTCAGCTTTGCAGTTCAAAGAAAGCTGATTTGCATTTTAGAGTTTACTCTGCGAAAGATTTTGGGAATCAAGAAACTTTTTACAGCTATTTATTTTGTTATGTATCATTATTAATTATAAAAAAGCGTTACTTTTTCCCCTGCTCAACCGAAGGGATTACTTAAAAAGACTTTGATACGTTGATGCTTTGATACGAACGTGATTATGCAGGATTTCTACTGCAACAGCAGTACTTCCCTGCAACCTGAGATGTTTCCACAATGAGCATGGTGATGAGGTTTACATGAGTAGATCTCAAGATGGGATATCAGCATTCAAAAGAAAGAAAATGACCCAAAAACATGGCTTGGGGAAGTGAAGAAACTGCTGGAGATTTTGGAGAAGACCAGTACTTCTAAAAGTCGTTACCCACTGAATATCGAACTGACGATCTGCGGATCTGTAGGTCTATGCTCTATCCGTTCGGTACTCTATTGATGCTCGATGCTTGTGAAAATATGAAGTGACTCAGAAACTTGTATGGAGAAAGCGTCCAAAGTCCGACGTGGGATGAGATAGCTGTTTTGACTTAACATATTAAAGACATGAGCTGTGAAGGGCTGAGCAAATAGTCGTCATCGATTTTTACATAGTTTAGCACGTCAGAAAAATCAGCAAAGTGGTTATGGATGGCTTTTTGATAGAAACTTTCGTTCAATTTGTTGAGGTGGGTCTTAACGTAGTCGATGTTCAGATCTCTATGAAGATTTTTGTTCCTGATGAAGTAAGGTGCTCCAGTAATTAGTCGTAAAAATTTATTTTGGATGGTTGCAATTTTTTAATTTCGTTGCGTTTTGCATTTGCCCAGGCAATCGAGGCATATAAAAGATGGGACGGATGATGGTGGTATAAATACGCTTTTTCCTGGTCATGCTGAGTCCTGAGTTTTCTGAGAGTAGAAAAAAAAAAGTTTCCGCATGATAGCGTAAATTTTTCCCCTAGTAGTATTAATGTGCGCTGACCAAATGAAGGATCTATTAAAGGTGACTCCCAGAAATTTGGCAGTGTTTACGAAAGGAAGTTGTTTTCCGAAGACATAAACAGAGTTATTAATAGTATACAGCCACTAGGTCGCAACAAATAGTGTCAGCTTTCGGAATCTCTTGGCCAATGACTAAGAAGATGGAAGAGCAGCTGAAAGTAATCATGGAAGCAATTGCTGCACGTTCCTTCGAAATGAAGAATACGATTACAGTGAATGCCGCTGAAATGAAGACAGCAATGAAATATTTCCTTTTCTCAATTAGAATGTCTTCTTCATTGACTGTCATTTCCGTGGTTGGCTATTTGCTTTCAACTTCTTTCAGCCACTCAAGCTATTACTTCTATTTCGCTAGTCTTTAACACGTTGAGCGCGGCGGCGAATTTGCTGTCCTTTCTGTTCAGCCGGTGCGAGCGGTCAAGCGGTCCTGCGGACCGACGCCAGCCAAACGAAATTAGGACCTAGGACCTAGGGACCGGTCCCTAGGGAATGGACCGACAAAATTTAACTGCCGGTCCCTAGGGACCGACGCCGGCCACACGGAAAGTTCACTGCCGTTCCCCAGGGCCCGACGCCGCGCTCAACGTGTTAATTGGACATCCTTTGAGATGATAAACCAGCGCCGTTAACAGCACTGGGAATTGTGCTTCCATTCAGCCTCCTTTTTTGAGTTTTCTACCTCCAAAGCTCGTTTTTTTTTTTTTTTTTTTTTTTTTTTTTTTTTTTTTTTTTAATCCAAGTGAGCGTTGTGATCGAGTCAAACCAATAGTAACAAGTAATGTTGTGTGTTCAAAACTTGCAGAAGAGAAGAAGAAAGATGAGTTCCGATATAGCACGCTAAACGTTCTAACCTTTGTAGGGTGATTTTACGTATAGGAGTAGCTGATTTTTAGCTTGTATAAAATGCAACTCTGCTTTATTATTTTTTTTGGTTTTGTTTTGTTTACAGGCTAATGTAATATAAGTATGTTACTGCCGCCACAAAATGTATGTAGCAAGTTTCATCGAATCACGTATATTTAAACATCTAGGTACTTTCATATGTGATAGTAAATGCACATTTTTGAGCCACGATTTAAATTTTGATTGATCATCATCGTATAGGGGTGTATCCCAATATAT